TGGGGGTGTGTGGTTGAGGGTATTGGTTGATCTTGGGGGCTGAGTTCAGGCCCATGTGTGTGATGTAATGTTGCTGGTGCCTACAATGGGTGTGCCCATGTTGACCTCCCTACCTGGGCCTAGGTGTCTTGTGACTTGTCTGAGCCTGCCCAGCTTTGGCTCATCCCCAAAGGTGTCCAATGTATACTTGATGTCTTTGCAACCCTTTTATTGTGGCATGGCCAGCTGGTTTTTCCTTTTGAGTAGGCATTTGGTGGAGACAACCCACTGTATCCCTATAATCTTCCTGCCTTTCAGTTCCACCAGTCTCTCTGTCTGATGGGATCCCTTTCAGAGCAGTCAGTAGCCGTAGCTGGAGGTCATCTAGTTTCTTTGGTCGCAGAGCTTTGGAGACCGATGCTCATGTGGTACATTAGTTTGCAGGACTAATTGTTTGCATCTTTGAATTTCATCACTTTTCTTTGCTGCAGAAGTCCAGTAGTTGAACCTTAGCTGGCTGTTCCCCAACATTTAAGACCCCAGTTGCTAGCTCTCCAAAGTAGGACAAAGAACATTGTCTTTGTAGATTGTTATGCTGATTGGCAGTGCTGTCCTTGGAGACTATCGCCCTGAAGCCCCATGTGGCAGGCATCATTTGAAGGAAATACTGTGGGGAAGAGTAATACGAGGGGTACACAAAAAACCCCAGATTTATTTTTCAAAGCTACGTACTTAAATTTTTTTACAAAACAACGTTATCACCTTCAGAGTACTCTCCATTGCACTGAATATATTGGTCAAATCTGTGATTCCATTCTTGGAAACATTTTTGAAACTCATATGTTTGGATGGCTGACAGCAGCTCCCTCATTATTTTCTTCACCTCTTCAGTGTTGTCAAATTGCTGTCCTTTCATGCCCCTCTACATTCACAGAAACAAAAAGAAGTCTCACAGAGTGAGGTCAAGGTACAAGGGGCAAGAGAGGCATCTGCTTTTTGCCCAAAACTGGCACACTGAGATGGCTTCATGAGCAGGTGCATTGTTGTGGTGGCAAAACCACTCCCTCATCTGCCACAAATCAGGCCTTTTTTTTGTTGCACACTGTTATGCAATCTTTTCAGAACGTCTAAGCAGAAAGCTTGATTAGCAGTCTGACCTGGTAGAAAGAACTCCAAATGCACTATGTTCAACATTTGACCTTTTTTGAAATGAGAAAACCACTCCTACACATGAGTTTTTCCCATAGTGCTGTGTTCAACATCTGAACAGTTTCTGCAGCATTTTTCCTAAGCAGGAAACAAAATTTCACAGCCACACGCTGTTCTCTTAAATCAGCCATCACAAAAAACGAGGTTCCAGCAAAACTGCTTTTATGAAAAATTCGCTGTGACCAGAGAGAACCTTCCTAGGCGATGCCACTGGGTGCACTAACTCAGCGAGTTGCTCAATGCTCACCTAGCAGGGAAAATGTGCATGACGAAGGCTCTGCTCTGCCCAGCACAGTTCTGGGTTTTGGGGGTGAATCCACATCTCACTGGGACAGAAAAGGAAGATAGCCCAGGGAAGGGATGGGGAAGGTCTGGCCCACGGGCCACATAAGGCCTGTGATATCTTTTATATTAGCTCACATAACACATCTCGCCAAAGGAAAAAGTCCCAGGTGTATGTTAATTAAGTGTTTGACCAACGATCGCAGGGAAACATTTAAGTTGATAATTTTGTGTGGCCCATGAATGGTGTTATAAATACCCAAATGACCCTTGGTTGAAAAAAGGTTTCCCACCCCTGGCCTGCTAGGTTACAAAATATCTGGACTCTGGAACGAAACTATCTGGATTTGAATCTTAACTCTGTATCTTACCAGCTCTGAAAAAATCACACAGTATTGTGAGCTCAAGGCCCTCATTCTTAAAACGAGGATAATGTCAAATGACTAGTGTAAAGTCCTTAACACATGTCGCTGTTGGGTGCTGTTGGGTCAGTCCTGACGCAACCGAACTGTGCAGTTGAAGTACAGTTCAAGAGAAGGAAACACTGCCCACGCCCGCGCCGTCCTCACAGTCGTCTAACCGCCTTGTCAGGGACCGTTCTCTCTTTCTCTGCCCCTCTGCTTTACCAAGCAGCATGTCTTTCTCCAAGGATCGGTCTCTCCTGATACCATGTCCAAATTACATGAGACGAAGTCTAGCCATCCTTGCCCATAAAGGAGCACTCTGACCATACTTCCTCCAAGACAGATCCGCTTGTCCTGTTGGCAGTCCGTGGTACTTTCAATATTCTCCTCCAACACCATGGTTCAAATGCATCCATTTTTCTTTAGTCTTCCTTATTCAGCGCCAAACTTTCACATGCTTATGTGACGTACATAACTGATAGAATGTGCTAAATGAGACGAAGAAGTCCTGGTGGCATAGTGGCTTATACATTGAACTGCCACCTGCAAGATCAGTGTTTCAAACCCACCAGTTGGTCTCTGGGAGAAAGACGAGGCTGTCTACTCCTACAGAGATTTAAAGTCTCAAAAGCAGGCAGCTCAACTCTGTTCTGTGAGGTTGGTATGAGTGAGGCTAAACTTGATGGCAGTGGGTTTTGGTCTGGCTTTTATGGGTATAAGCAACTATCATGGTACTAACTTATTAGTGCCTAGTGTGTGCACATATTCGGTGCCACCAAGCATGCCGCTCTCTGAAGTGAAAAGATTCCTTTTCAGCTTAGTGCCCACTGGTTATCATATAGGTGCTCAATGAATGTTTTAATGAATGAATGGGTCTTTAATTTTAGATATACTACATTCAAATGACATCTGTTTGGATTTAATTTACAATTCTGATAGATGTTTCGATATAATTCTGGTAAAAACAGTATCTCTATTTGACAGAAATGTGGCTTTCTAATGGGTTTATGAGAATGTGGCTACCACCACTCTGAATCCTATAAGGGAAATCTGATTTTTTTTTACAAGCCTTTTAAAGTTAAGAATTAGATGCATTCTATATTTAGGTTATACTTTTTAATCTCACACTCCCCTTTTCCTGAAGGTGAGCTTTTGCCTGTGGAGTAGAATATAAACTTTGTGGATTTTAATCCATGGATGATTTTCAACATTTATTGAGTGCCTACTCCAAAAGAAGAGCTCTGGTGGCGGAGCTGAGTAAACTCTGGGCTGCTAACTGCAGGGTTGGTGGTTCAAACCCACCAGCCACCCTGTGGGAAAAAGACGAGACTGTCTGCTCCAATAGAGATGGATGGCCGTGGAAATCATTGGGAGCAGTCCTGCTCTGCCTATAAGTCCCTGTGGGTTGGAACTGACTTGTTGTCAGTGGATGAGCACTCTAGAGGTGTGGTGGCGTGGGAAGAGGGAAAGGGCCAAGACACGTGGCCTCCTTCCTAAAGTCGCTCCAGGTCTAAGATGAGAGGAGGGATCCTACGAAATGGTTGAGAATTAGCTATATTTAAAAATCTCTGTGCAGATTATTGCTTTGTGAAACAGTATGAAAAGTATAAGAGAAAATAGAATGCTTATGACCTTTCAACAGAGCTACAGATATGAAAAACACTACAATGTTATTTAAGAGCATTCTCTATTAGATGCTCCCTTTGTTTTGTGCTTTCTCGATACTTACTATTACTGGGTTTTTGTGAAACAACATCTAATTATGACATCCTTCCCCGCCCCTCCTTTAAGGCTGTTAAAAGAAAGTCTGGGTGGAAATTCAAAAACAGCGATGATTGCGACCGTCAGCCCTGCGGCCAGCAATCTCGAGGAAACGCTGAGTACCCTCAGATACGCTAACCAAGCCCGCCTGATCGTCAACGTCGCCAAAGTCAATGAAGACACGAATGCTAAGCTCATCAGAGGTGACTGTTCTTTCATTAGCAGTTTGCCATGTAACAGCATGATCTCACAAACAAATTCTTGTCTTGGGAATATGTAAGAGCACCTGCTTTTTCCTACCGATTCTCGTCATCTTCAGCGTGCCGCGATGACGGAGGGAGGCAGGCGGAAGGACCTGGGAATGAGAATAAGTGAGGAGGAGAGGGGAACAGCCGGCACAGCAAGCGCGGGTTACAGGCCGGGGCACACACGGGGCAGCAATGAACTCGTGTCCTCTGACTCTTCTTCACGGTCACCCCGCTCACAGCCCTTCTCTGGCTCAGTCCTTGATCCAAAGGTGGATTGCCCTTGAGTTTCTGACACAGGCCTAAGTCTGTTTATGCTGCATATGACGGGGGCTTCCAAAACTTTGTGGGAAAATGGAGTTAAAAGGGAATGGAATTTTTCCACATGCTTTTTGAAGTCCCCTGGCATTAATTTCTACTTATATCTTGGATAGACTTGGCCTACCTGCAAAGACTCTTGATTTTAACCAGGCTTGGTCTTTGTTTATGTGCACCTACCATCTGCTCATGCCCATTATCCCCTGACCCTCTTTAGCAGCAGCAGGTGAACAGACATTTCAGATCTACAATCCAAAGTAGGGTTGGTTTACTATGCCATAGTCCACCCTTTTGTGTTTGGATAGCCTCTATTTCACAAACAGAACCATTTCACTAGAAATAAATCCCTGAAATTCCAGGCTGAAAAATCTTTTTTTTTTTTATCCATTATGTCTTTTTTTTTAAAGATCATTTTATTGGGGGCTCTTACAACTTTTGTTACAATCCATACATCAATTGTATCAGACATATTTGTACATATATTGCCATTGTTCTTTTCTAGATATTTACTTTAAAAAAATTGTTTTATTACTGGCTCATACAACTCTTATCACAGTCCATATATAGATCAATTGTGTAAAGCACATTTGTACATTCCTTGTCCCCATTATGTCTTATGAGTAAACTTTGCCTAGGACAATCTCAAGAAGCCCTGGTGGTATAGTGGATTCGGAGGTGAGCTACTAACCACAAGGTCAGCAGTTTGAAACCACCAGGTGCTTTGTAGGCGACAGATGGGCTTTCTGCTCCTTTAAAGACTTGCAGCCTTGCCAGCCCACAGGGCAGTTGTGCTCTGCCCCACGCGGTTGCTGTGAGTGAGAACCGCTCGCTGGCAGTGAGTGTGAGTTTTGAGGTCCATCTCGGTTCTGTCTCTTGCCACAGTGTCACTTATAGTGCCCTTCTCAGAGGCATCCCGCTTTGGCCAGTGTACATTCCAAGGGGGAAAATCAAGTAATGTGGGAGCACGCTTTCAGGCCAAGTTTAGGTAGGTTATGCAACTAAAGTAAAACTGTTTCCTGCAAATACTCTATTTTATGTAACTATTTAAAATCCAAATAAAATAGATGGGAAGATTATGTCTGATGTGGAAAGTATTAACTGGCTAATGTTTATGCATTACATCTGTTTTTATGAATATTTAGAATTGAAAGCAGAAATTGAAAAGCTCAAAGCGGCTCAAAGAAACAATCGGAATATCGACCCCGAAAGATACCGGCTCTGTCGGCAAGAAATCACAGCCTTACGAATGAAGCTGCACCAGCAGGAGAAGGACATGGCAGAAATGCAAAGGTGGGGCACTGGCAGGGCCTCGCGGTTCCACCGGGCATCCTGCGTCCCGGGCGGGCCTGGGCCTGAAACAGACCGAGTCTGACGTCCCACCTTCTGTATGAATCAAGCACTGCACCCCCAGACAGCTGTATTTTTAAATATTTCTAGGTTGATCTCTTATCTTTATTCGTGATCTAGCCTCTTAATTCTCCATTTTACATATCATGATGACTTTAACTCTTTTTTAATTTTGTTTTGTGTTTTGGAAAGAGTGTGGAAAGAAAAGTTTGAACAAGCTGAAAAAAGGAAACGTCAAGAAACCAAAGAGTTACAGGTATCATTTCAACTTTCTAAACTGGTTTGAAAATAAAAGAGAAATCTATGAGTAAGTATATAAATGTAGTTTTTCAAATACTTACTGTAGGCTGACTCGGCCCCAGAGCACTGCCAGAAAGAGAGCTCATGCAAAGAAGTGCCAGGTCAAGATGGTGATTGCTTAAGTCCCAGAGTTCATTGAAAGTTCCGCTTTAATTAATTAAACGGCTTCATGAAATTTGATTTGGCTCCACAAGTATTTGTTGAGTAGCAAGCGGGGCTGGATGAGGAGCAGGCCTGCTAAGGTTTCTAAGATGCACTTCTGGCTCCGGGAGCTTGTGACCCAGAGAGAGGCTTCTTGTTTTTGCCATCAGGAAACCAGAGGGTGTTTGTTTGTTTTTAAACATTTTATTGAGGGCTCTTACAGCTCTTGTAACAACCCTTAAATCAGTTGTATCAAGCACATTTGTATATATGTTGCCATCATTTTCTAGACACTTATTTTCTATTGAGCCCTTGGTGTCCGCTCCTCTCCCCCGCCCCCTTGTGGCTCCTTGATGAATTATAAATTACTACTTTCATATCTTACACTGACTGCTGTCTCCCTTCCCCCATGGTTTCTGTTGTTCGGCCCACTAGGGGAGGGGTTGCAGTTATGTGTCCATCATTGCGATCGGTTTCCCCTTCCCCACCTCCTCTCCCTGGATTCCCCCTGCCTTCCTGGTATCGATACTCCCATTCCTGTTTCTGGATTCTGTGTGTCCTGAGCTCCTATGTTTTATCTGTACCTGTGCACATGTCTGCAGTGAAAGGCAGTACTAGGGTCATGATGGTGGGGGGTGAGGAAGCCTGAAGGAACCAGAGGAGTATTGTGGTTTCATTGGTGCTTTACTGCACCCTGATTGACTCATCCCTTCCCTATGACCCCTCTGTGAGGGGATGTCCCATTGTCTACAGATGGGCTTTGGGTCTCTGCTCCAACCCCCCTCCTTCTCAGCAATATGATTTTGCTTGCTTGTTTGTTTGTTTGTGATTTTCTGATGCTTGTTAACTGGTCCCGGTAACACCTCATGATCACACAGACTGGTGTGGTTCTTCCATGTGGGCTTGTAGCTTCTTTGCTCGATGGCCGCTTGTTTACCTTTAAGCCTTTAAGACCCCAGACCTTATATCTTTTGAGAGCCAGGCACCATCTTCTTTCTTCATCACATTTACTTATGCACCCATTTTGTCTTCAGCGATTGTGCCAGAGGGTGAGCATCACAATATGACGGTTTGTTAGAACAAAGTGTTCTTGTATTGAGGGAGGGCATGAGCAGAGGCGTGAAGTCCAGAGGGTGTTCTTGACTCTAATCTTTACAGAAGCAATTGGTCAGGCCTTTCTCCTGTGAAGGAGCGAGGTGTGTTCAGGCGCTTACCCCACACTCCCCCAGACATCTCTGGAGGTTTACAGAATGTAAACAGATAGGTGAAATGCTATGTGACTTAATTAAGTTGAGCTATAAAAAAACTATCATTTTGTAGGTAAAAGGGGTTGAGTACTGTCTCAAAGCTCAACTCACCGCCATCAGGTTGATTCCAACTCATAGTGACCCTATAGGACAGGATAGAACATTCCCTGTGCTTCTATGAGACAGTAACTCTATATGGAATATAGAGCCCCGTCTTTCTCCTACAGCATGGCTGCTGATCTTGAACTACAGACCTGGGGGGTAGCACATAACCACAATACCTCTAGCGCTCCTTAAGTACTGGCAGTCTCATACAATTCAACCTAATGCGATGAAAAGTAGGAGACTTAAGAGAGAGGATGGAATGACACATTTTGAGGAGGGTGTTTATCAAGGAGGAAGGGACCCGGAAGCAGTGTGCTGCCTAAGGAACAGCAGATGAATACTGTGTTCAGAGGCAGGGAGGGACAACGCAGCTTGGATGGCCAGAGAATTACGGCATTTTGTACAGCTGGAAATGAAAGCTAGTGGCAGAGATTAGACTGGAGGGAGCTGCCGAGTGCAGATCATGATGTGTGAGGAACTTGGACTTAGGTAATGGGAAGCCGTTGACGAGTTTTAAATGGAAGGGCAATGGTGTGAGCAGACTCCTCGGGTCAGAGTGTGAGAGGTGGAGTTAAGGGAGGGAAGGCTGGTGACGCCAGAGAACGCTCCTCATATAAGAGACTGCTGTTGGTGGTTAAGACGCGATGAAGACCGCTGGCAGTACGGTCGTGGCCACGGTATTGAACAGTAGAGGAGCTGGGGTCAAGAGACAGGAATTAGGTAAGATTGTTAGGGTTGGGATGCTTTGCAGGTGGGGGGTCGAGAAAAATGGACTCTCAGTTTCTGAAATGTACGTATGAAGATGCTTCACATGGTTTATAGGAAATCCCATTAACTTTTGATTCCATTTTTCTGTGAGCTTTTTGAAGCGCCCTCATATTGCCATTGTGAAAGCACCGCACGCTGGTGGCAAAGGAAAAAGGTAGATGGTGGTGAGTTGAGGAATGAGTGAGAGGGGAGGAAGCAGAGCCACACAGACAGACTCCGAAAATCTTAGGAGTCAGAGATGGGGCCTTTGAGGTTGAGAGAAGGGTTTTTGGTGTTTGTTGAAAGCATGGAGGAGACTTGAACACCTGTATAGGAACTTGACATTCCTTCATCGGGTGATGCTCTAAAGAGATGGGAGGAAATAGGTTAAGAGCAGAGGTACTGGCAGTGAAGGAAATGTTTCAGATGATAGGTGGGGAGGAAGGGAGGGAAATGCCAGGGGAATGGCCAGGCCAGCTGCAGAGAAGAGGCAGCATTGAGTTGACATGTAGATCAGATTTTAATAGGGAGGGAAAATGGAGAGTCGAAGTGGGAAAGCTGAAGAGGTGCTCAGAAGAGAGTGTGCGAGTCACTTCTATTGGAATAAACTGTTTGTAGACAGTCATAAGGTGATAACATGGGAAAAATAGCTCATGATACTCGTTTATTAAAGGTTGAATTTCCAGGGCAAAGAAGTGAGAAGCCATTGAGATATTTAGCCAGGGAACTGACATTTTGAGACTACCTTCTCAGGAGAATCAATCCAGTATAGGATGTAAGATGGCTGAAACCAGGAGACATTGAGAGGGCAATTAACAGTGTGCTGCAGTAGTTCGGGAGTGGTTGATAAGGCCCTGAATGAACCAAGCCGATAGCAGTAACGATAACTAAGGCAACACTCTAATGACACTGGCATTCTTTAGTGATGGGCCGAGGAGGTTAAAGGATGCAGTCAATATAACTAGATTTCTGGGCGTATGATGCTAACAGTTATTTAGAGGTGAGCAAGGAGAGAGGCTTAGAAGATGGGAGAGATTCTGAAAAACTTCACATAGAATGACTTCATTTTAATTTAGACCACATCTTTTCCGTGAGTGGAGCAATTTTCATGTATGGTTAAGGTTAATTTGTTTTTCCTTCTTTCTGACTTGTGCTAGAAAGCAGGGATTACATTTCAAATGGACAACCACTCGCCAAACCTTGTCAATCTCAATGAGGATCCCCAGCTCTCGGAGATGTTGCTGTATATGATAAAAGCAGGGAAGACCACCGTCGGAAAGTACAAGCCCAACTCAAGCCACGACATTCAGTTGTCTGGGGTGCTGATTGCTGATGATCACTGGTATGTTCGTCTCCTTCAACTATGTGTCGGTTACTCTTAGCCATCTGGTTACCTTCCCATGAGATGTTAGTCTGTACTGATTCTTTTCTGTAATTCTCCAAACTCAACTTCTAGCTAGGGACAAACAGGCATGTTCGGTGTTTGTAAGGATTACAGCTATTCTCAGTATACAACAATCTATATGTGTCTTAGTATACTTCATCTATTGTTGGTTGAGATACTGTGCTTTCTTAGCATTGCAATCGTGCACAGGAAAGCAATCTGCCAGCCAATTGATGATAGAACTTTTGGAGGGATTGCCACATTTTGCAGTTCCTTTACATGAATGGAATGATGCTGTCGTGTTGTCGGGATATAAACTGGCCTGTCATCGTTTTCAACGTTGATCTGTGTTGATGCTTTTTTATTGTCATGGCTGTGAATCATTTCCATTTATTTATTTTGTTTTTGTAGACATTTGGGTTGTTTCCAATGTTTTTTTCCTATTACAGTATTTGTATTTGTATCTGTGTATCTTTCCCTGGTACAAACATTACGAGTTTCTCTAGAGTGTATCAAGTCTAAACACAGAAGTAGACTTGCTATGGAACATGATCTTTGTTGTGCTGTTGCAAAGACTGTCCCGAGAATTTCTGATCTGGTGAGAAAGAAGCTGTCTCAATCTTCCCACTGACATTGACTTTTTACGCATACTATCGCAAAATGTAGCAATGTAGTTTTCTGTTGGGTTTTTTGGTTTTTTTTCCAGTTTACTGTTGTTATATTAAGACTGTTACCCATGCTACACCATGCTTCAGGACTAGATTTCATTTATTTATAATTAGAAATAAATATTTCACAATATATAATTACGTATTGTTTTTGTGATTAATCACTGTTTTAATCATGTTCAATTTGTAACAATGAAAATACATCCTGCATATCACATGTTTACATGACGATTCATAACAGTAGCAAAATTACAGTGATGAAGTAGCAACAAAAATAAATGTATGGTTGGGGGTCACCACCCCATGAGGAACTGTATTAAAGGGTCGCGCGGCATGAGGAAGGTTGAGAACCACTGCTCTGAATGATTTCATTGCGCTCTTATCCGCTAAGGGCGTCTGGGCGGCACAGTGGGTCACGTGCTGTACTGCTTGCTCACCACGAGGTCAGCACTGTGAACTGCGCTGCAGGAGAAAGGTGAGGCTTCCTGCCCCTGGAAGCCTTTACAACCTCAGAACCCCCGCGGCAGTTCTGCTGTGAGTCAGAGTGGACCCAACGGCCGGGAGTGTTTTGGCTGGGACTCAGCTTTGCTTCAGGCTTTTCTCTGTCCAGTGTACCAAAGAGGAATTGGACTTCGGGGCTTCTCTCCTGCTCTCTGAATGCAAAGGACCCGAAGCATGCGCAGCATTTGTAGCTCTTTGTCTGATCAGGGTCCAGTTTAATTCAGTGACTAAGGAGTGAGTTTTTGTTTGTTTTTTAATATTCTTAACATTTTAAAAAATTTAAATAATTTTATTGGAGCTCTTATAGATATTAATAACAATCCATAAAACAATTATATCAAGCAAACTTGTACACATGTTACCATCATCATTTTCAAAACATTATCTTTCTACTTGAGCCCTTATTATCAGCTCCTCTATTTTCCCTCCCCCCCACAGCCTCCTGAACCCTTGATAAATGATATATTATTAGTATTTCGTATCTTACACGCTTGCTGTCTCCCTTCACCCACGTTTCTGTTGTTTGTCCTCGGGGGTGTGTGTGGGTGTGTGTTATAGGTCCATCATTGTTATTGGTTCCCCCTGGGAGGGAGATTTTAATCCCTGCTTTTTCTTCCCCTGGATTCCTCCATGTTTTTGGAAGAGAAGAAAATATGTGAGTGTTTCCAGTACTAAACGAAGCTCATATATGAAAGAAAAGTAAACACTAAAAGACCTAGAACTCTTCTTTCATTGTTCATATTTCAATCTATTTCTCCTTTGATTTTTTTGTTTGGAGAAAGGGTTAATGTTTTCTTTAAAAGAAGTTAATAGTTAAAACACATGCAACAGAGCTGGTTCAAATGTTGCTGAGAGGGGCCAAGCTTTTTTTGGCCGAACTTTCACAATCTAGTTGGAGCAAAATAAAAGAATTTTAAATTATTGCTGTAGCCAATTGACATGAACTGTAATTACCAAAGGAATAACCCAAGTGGATTATCCTGTGTTGCCTGCTTCACGTGCCCTGTGACTGAAGCTGTGTGCTTCTATGTTTACAGTGTTATCAACAATTTTGATGGGACAGTGAGTATTATCCCAGCTGGGGAAGCAAAGACTTATGTAAATGGAAAACATATTTTGGAACCCACAGTATTGCATCACGTAAGTTGATGAGTGCTAAAATAGAAGTAATTGTTTGACCTTGAGCAAGACATTGAATTTCTTTGAGTCACAGCATTCTCCTCTGTAGGATAAGAGAGTTTAACTAAATCAAAGACTTTTCCAATTCTGAGATTCTCTTTTCTATTAATTCAGAACCTATCTTTTTTTAATTGAAGACAAGAATTTTATCTCTATGAACCAGTACTCGAAGAGTAGACTACTAACAACATTATGTGTCCAGTAAAGAGCTGGGCTTTGGAATCATGCTAGGAAGGGCTGAAGTCCTGACTGTCATTTGTCATCTGCATGGCTTTTAGCAAGGAGCTCTGGTGGTGCACTGGTTAAGTGCTTACCTGTGATCTGAAAAGTTGGCCGTTTTAAGCCCCCAGCTCTTGCATGGGAGAAAAGACTTGGCGATCTCCTCTCTAAAAAATTCATTCAAAAAACCAAACTCACTGAGTTGATTTCGATTCAGTTATAGGATTCTACTTATAGGACAGAGTAGAACTGCGCCCTTTTCTGTTACCAAGTCTATTAATCTTTATGTGAGTAGACAGCCTCATCTTTCTCCCATTGAGTGGCTGGGGGGTTTGAACTGCTAACCCGTGGTTACAGTTTAGGGCGTAAACTGTATGCCACCCAGACTACTCTCCTGATAAAGATTACAGCCTTGGAAACCATATGGAGCCATTCAACTCTGCCCTGTAGGATTACTATGAATTGGAATATCCTTGACAGCACATAACAACATGACCTTTAGCAAGTTATTTAACTAAAATTTGGTTAATGATATAATCTCACTGGGATCTCTGACATGTAAATGAGGTAACATATGCAAAATTCTTACTTCAGTACTTGGCATACAGAAAGTAATTTCATTAGTAGGACTGTATTGAATTATTGGGCTTAATGATTTGGCCCATGTGCTCAATCTTTTTTATTTAAACTCACCTCAATTAATTAATTTTTTTAAAATTCCAGGGTGATCGGGTAATTCTCGGAGGAGATCATTATTTTAGATTTAATCATCCAATGGAAGTCCAGAAGGGGAAAAGACCTTCCTCTAGAGATACTCTTATAAGCGAGAGTCCGAAAGACTTTGAATTTGCAAAAAATGAGTTGCTCATAGCACAGAGATCACAGTAAGTATCATTGTTACCATGAACTAGTTGGTGTCTGAGAGCGGTCACCCAGAGAGTGTTGACCACAATGTACTGGTTTCCAGTAGGTAACCCTGTGGGTGCTTGTTTATAGTTATCTAGTCTTCTAGTCTTATCTTGGTACAATGGTTGCCTTATATAATGGTCAGTCAATTTTTCAAATAACTGGTAGTTTCTGTGTTCCCATTTTTGCCTCTGTCTTTTCATTCTTTCTTTTAGTAATTCTCCTGTGAAAGCTAAGCCCATTGCTCACTAGTCAATTTTGGCCCATAATGACCCTATAAGACAGAATAAAACCACAACATAGGCGTTCAACGTGTATTCTTTATGGAAGCAGGCTGCCACATCTTTATCCAACAGAGTGGTTGGTCAGATGTGGTGTGGAAGCTTATATATGGGGAGACACTTGGTCCAGACCAGGGATCCGTGCAGGCTTCCAGAGAAGAGATGATGACCCCTTGGAACAGAGGACTATAAGAAGTTAGCCAAGAAGAGACTAGGAACCAGTGCTGCTATAACAACTATCATCAAGGGGTAACATTAATGCTTTGTTCCTCAGTTCCGGGTGAGCCCTACATGACATCTGTCATCCCCTTACCTGTGCTTCTTTGCATCAAATTGTTTCATATTTCAAAAGTGATTGACTTAAAAGATACTCTGCACTCTTATGACCTTATTCATAAAACAAAATCCCATTCCCAAATGAGATGATATCCACGGGTATCCCTGTTGTTAATTATGGTAGAGTTCATTCCAATTTCTGGCCACCAATGTGTGCAGAGTGGAGTTACTAAGCAGGGTTGCCAGGCTATGACCTCTTGGAAACATTGCTTGACTCAGGTACCATTGGGTGAGTTCAAGGCACCAACCTTTTTTATTGGAGCGAACACAGATATCATTCCAAGCAATATTGCACAATTGCTACCACAATCAATTTCACCAAACTGCTACGCCTTTGGTTTAGTAGTGTCACCCAGGGACCTATTCACAGGTATCCTACCAAAACCCTACTTGCCATTGAGCTGATTCTGAGCAGTTCAAAAAGACATGGGTGTCTACTCCTATAAGATGACAGTCTTTGAAACTCACAAGGACAGTTCTACCCTGTCCTAGAGGGGCGCTATGAGTCGGCATCGGCTTCATGGCCGTGAGTTTTTATAAACATCACACAGATAACCACAAGGTCAGTGGTTTAAACCCAGCAGCTGCTCCTTGGGAGAAAGATGCGGCTGTTGCCTTTGATACAGATTTACGGCCCTGGAAATCCTATGGGTCAATTCTACTCAGTCCTATAGGGTTGCTATTGATTTGGAAGTGACCGATAGTCTTGGCTTTGGTGTTGGTTATATATGTAAACAGAGGAGGCCTGGTAGTGCAATGGATTGAGTGTTGGGCTGCTAATTGCCAGGTCAGTGGTCCAAACCCACCAGCCACTCCATGGGAGAAAGCTGAGACTATCCGCTTGCGGAAAGATTTACCGTCACAGAAATCGGTGGGCCAGTTCTCTACAGCCCAAAAGCTGAGTCCGAATCAATTGAATGGCAGTGGAGCAATGTATAAATTTGAGAAGACTTCACATTTTCTGGGAAAATTCCATTATCTTTTAATTCTCTTTTTCCACTAACTTTGAAACCCCCTGGTGGCACACTGGTTAAGCACTTGACTACTCATTGAAAGCTTGGAGGTTCAAACTCACCAACGGCTGCTCCTGACAAAGATGGAGCAGCTCAAGGTTAGCACCTTGGAAGCCTGCGGAGGCGGTTCTACTCTGCCCTGTAGAGTCGCTGTACGTGGAAATCAACTCGGTAACAGTGAGCGTGGCTTCTGGCTTTATATATAGTTTTGTAGCTGAAAAAAATTTAAGAACAATGTGTTGGGAGAATTTCAGAAATGACAATTTTGAAAAAGTAGAAGACATTTTCATATGATTAAAAACTGCTCCTGTGTATAAAGAATTGACTGTATTCCCAGTGTATCTTTTGCCCCTTTGTAGACTCGAAGCCGAAATAGAAGCAGCGCGCTTGAAAGCAAAGGAAGAAATGATGCAGGGAATCCAGATTGCCAAGGAAATGGCTCAACAAGAGCTTTCTTCTCAAAAAGCTGCCTATGAAAGCAAAATTAAAGCACTAGAAGCAGAACTGGTAAAAGACCTTTATTTATTTTTTTTAGTTTTATTTTATTTTATTTATTTGTTTTTTAAATATTTTATTAGGGGCTCATACAACTGTTAGCGCAATCCATACACACATCAATTGTAAAGCGCATTTGTACATCATTCTCAACATTTTCTCTCCACTTAAACCCCTGACATTAGATCCTCTTTTTTCCTCCCTCCCCGCTCCCCCCTCCCTCGTGAGCCCTTGATAGTTTATAAATGGGTATTTTGTCATATCTTGCCCTGTCCGACGTCTCCCTTCACCCACTTTTCGGTTGTCTGTCCCCCAGGGAGGAGGTCACACACAGTTCCTTGTAATCGGTTCCCTCTTTTCTACCCATTCTCCCTTTACCCTCCCTGTTTTGCCACTCACACCACTGGTCCTATAGGGCTCATCCGCCCTGGATTCCCTGTATTTTCAGTTCCTATCTGTACCCGTGTACATCCTCTGGTCTAGCCAGACTTGCAAGATCGAATTCGAGTCATAGTAGTGGGAGCGGGGAGGAAACATTTAGGAACTAGAGGAAAGTTGTATTTCTCATCATTGTTACATCGCACCCTATTCTTTCTGTGATAGTGAACCCCGCCTGACTCATGCCCTGAAAAATGATCTCTGGGCTCTGGGGGTGGTTGTGTGTGTGTGTGTGTGTGTGTGTTAAAGACTAGAGAGTCAGATCCACAGTGAGTTTTACTAAAACTAAAGCAAGTTCTGTGTGTGTGTGTTAAAGACTAGAGAGTCAGATCCGCAGTGAGTTTTACTAAAACTAACGCAAGTTGTTAGTCAACAATGGCTACTGGAAGGAGAAGGGTGGCAGAGAAAGATGCTTCTGCCTTCAAGACACTCCACCTGGGGCTCAGCCTGGGGCTTGCTGGCAAGCTTGCACTCCCAGAAGGCCCTGCAGTGTTGGATGGGTGGTATTTAATCAGTCAGTCAGAATGGCCTCAAGACGCTCTGGCCAAACAACTTCTCCTGAGTAAGTCAGTTCTTGTGCATTAATTACAGAAAGGGACTCCTGTGTGTGTTTCTGGTGCTGGTTGGAAGTGGCTCCCCCACCCTCCCAGTTATTTCTTACGATTGCTCTTTAAAGGAAGAAGAGTCTCAAAGGAAGAGAGTGCAGGAAATAAACAACCAAAAGGCTAATTACAAAATCGAGGAGCTAGAAAAGGCCAAGCAGCATCTTCAACAAGAAATATATGTAAACAAAAAGCGGTTAGAAATGGAGACTTTGGCTACAAAACAGGTAATTTTGTTTGGTAGCTAGTTTGTGCAATTCTGAGGGAAAACTGGATTTTAATTATTTAATTAATATTTTTTAATTGTACGACCTTACGGTATTTTGACAGGAGATAGCTTATATCCTGGGTACTGCTCATGGATCTTATCACACGCAGCACACAGGTATTTTGAAAGAGAGCTATTAATCCCAGTTAATTTCAGCCCCCAATTTGGGCTTATGTAACCATCATTATCCCATTATGAGTCATGCCAAGTCATTTAAACGAGTGGCACACCACTGGAGTCCTACATGAAGGAATAATAAAAGCACAACAGCACCCTGGGCCATATGTTGATGTGGGAATGAAGGCGCCACTGCCCAGGGGAAGAGCCGCTCAAAACAGTGTTTTGTAAGGTGGGCCACTCAGCCCCCTGGGGGGCGCTGGAAGGATGCAGAGAGCTGCATCCTGGAGCTGGGCTGTAGTACAAGAGTTTAATTGCCAGAGGGGCACTGAACAGTCTTTGTTTTGAAAAGGGGCTGGTAGGTTCCAAATACATTTGGGAGGCTGTGTCCGTTACCTCAGTCTCATCTGCTCACGCACCTAAGTTCAGAGGCATCGTTCAGGGCAGGCTCAGGCTACCCAGGGCCTCACAGCTGAAGAGTGAAACCAGAAATGCCAGTATGTTAAAACCTTCGATGACTCTGCTACCCAGCTTGAGGGCCATTCTTGCTCTTCATTAGTGGTTTTCAAAGTGCGGGACTAGGCCACAACATCAACTTTACCCGGAAATGCAAATTCTCTGGACCAACCCAGCCCCATAAACCAGAAGCTCTGTGAGGGCCAGGATCTGTGCTAACGAGTCTCCCTGCTGCCCTCCCTGTGTTTCTGTTGAGTGCTAAATTTCAGAACCGCTGCGTTCTCATCTCTGCTTTGATCCTTTCTATCTTTTCATTTTAAGGGTTCTCTTTTACCTCAAATTTGGAGCCAGGTGGGTGGAAGAAAAATACAAGGGGCTTCAGAAGGCTTGTGGAAAATTGGAATTAAAACATAATGGAATTTTTCTATGAACTTTTTGAAGCTCCCTGGTACCCCTAATCCAAATGCTGATCCTACGTGTATTAGCTAACTTTAGGATGCAAAGTGGTTACTGAAAGATTTTTAGCAGAAAAACAATCTTTTTACTCAATTTTATGTTCAATCTTAAAAAATGATTATTACTGGATTATTATAAGACTTAATTACATCAAAGTGGGGTTTTATTGTGTTCTTTAAATCTGAATTCTTTATTTAGTCAATAAATGTAGAAAATATAGTGTGGACTTTTTTTTAAAGTAATTTTTCTGAACTTCCTATTAATAATAAGAAAAAGATTAATTTATGTTATCAAAACGTCCTAATGAATTTATTGTAGGGGCAATATTTTACCAAAAAATCTTATAAATTACTTAGAAAAAATATCTTTTGCTGCATAGAGCGTTGTGTAAAAAGAGGTTTAATTATTGTATGTTGCCCTTATTGATCTGGTTTTATAGTTTCTTTGTGTATTTTTATTTCTGCATCTATATGAATAAATTCCAATTAGGCTTTAGAAGACCACAGCATCCGCCATGCAAGAATTCTGGAAGCTTTAGAGACTGAGAAGCAGAAAATTGCCAGAGAAGTACAAATTCTACAGCAGAATCAGAGTAATAGGGATAAAACTTTTACCAGTAAGTATGGCATCACGTTAGCTGACATCTAAAGTTATAGGTGTTATTTACATACTAGAATTGCTAGCACTTTAGTTGCTTTTACATTATCCAAAACTGTTTATTCTAGATGTTGCTATAGTTAAGTACAATTTTCAGGCTTTAAACAAGTTTACATGAGTGATTATTTCTATGATACTTTGTTTTTAGAATACTTGGTTACATAAGCAAAATAATAAATAAAATGCGAAAGCTTCGATGTTATTCTAATTTGTATTTAATGTCTATATTGTACTTAATCCTTGAGCCATTGGTTTTTTAGCCTGCATTTTTATTTTTTACCATGTAGATTGTAGCTTGTTTTTAGTGTAAACCTTCCCCACTCATATAGAAAATTTCACACAACCTAAAAATGTGGAGATTTCAGTACAATAAACCGTCAAGGTGTTTATCATCTAGTTCCAACAATTGCCAATACACATTCAAACTTGTTTCAGGTCTATCAGCCCTCCTACCTTCCAGAACTATTTTCAGGCAAGTCCTTGGCTGTGTATCTTCACTATTATCTCTAGATTTGATAAGGACTCACTTTTCTCTCTTTTTAAAACAGAACCAAATTACTGCCATACTTTAAAATATAAATAATAATTTCTTATACTCGTCAAATACCGAGCACATAGTCTCATGTCCTGGATTGTTGCATAATGTAGTTTACGTTTGCTTTGAATCAGGGTCCACATGTCCACACATGACATTTCAACTCCTCAGCCTCTTACCCTGAATTCTCTCCTTTCTTCCCTTCATTCCTCTTTTCTCCCTCTCTTCCACTTACGATTCACTAGTTGTAGAATCAGGGCATTTGTCCTGTTGTGCGTCTCAAATGCTAGATAGGATCTCCATAATGTTGCTTAGCAGGTTCCTCTGCTGCTAGATTCCCTACAAAACACTATAACTAGATCCATTGACCTATCAGATTCAGACTTAATTTTTGGCAAGAACTTGGTGGTGTTGTTTTATATTTTGTATAACTTCTGTATTTAGATACATTTAAAAATAGGAATACTATTTGTATTCACTGCAAGAGATAACTATATTGTATTAGTACACCTTTTTATCCTCTCAGAACCTAGAATAGTGCCCTGTAATAAATATGTTGTGGGTTCAAATAAATGACAGCCACTATAATGTCTTGATAATTTAGAAGAGTCTTTATTCGGTTATAACCGGACTGCTGGAATCTAAAAGTGATCTTTGATTGCAGCCCCAAGTGGACATTTCAGTCCATCTTAAAGGCAAAAACTCATTTATCATTTGTCTAGGACTTAAGCAAGCGTGGACAGAAGCAGAAAGCAAAATTAATGTTATTATTTAGGGTTAGTGAGCATTACAGGGTACAGCATTGATTATAACATCCTGGTTAATAAAATAAAAATGGTAATATCCTGGTTACAACATCAAAAGGAATAATATTATTCATTACAGAGCTCTGATCTTGAGAACATAAGAGTACATTCTAAAATCAGTCACTAGTGGGACTTTCCAAGATGGGAGCGGAAAGGAGGCAAGTCATTCAGCAGTCAACGAGATGGCATTAAAGTGGCGCGTGTTAGTCTGTCATATATATATATATATGTATATATATATGTTATCCATGTGAAGGTGAGGCTCATGTTTCCTCAAGAAGTGGGATTTAGGTGTAGTATTTCAGGTATAAGTTTGAACAATACAGAACATGCTCTGAACATACTGAAATTCTAATTAGGAAAATGAAATTATAGACTAAATTGTTTTCTTTTTCTATTTCTTTTTGTTGTTGTTAAGAGAAAAATGTGATTTTTAAGCAAAATGAAAAACGGTGGTTGTGTGTAAATCAGGTTGTATGTATTATGCTTTACCCACTACTTTAAAGAAGTTACGAAGTACTGAACCACAATTTTAACGAAATTAAAAAGAAAATCATTGTGTTTCATGTCTCCTTTCTTTAAAAAGTCCTTAACCTCTCTATAACTTAAGTTTTTTTCCATTTCACCACAGTTGGATGGAAAGCTTCACTTACAGAATTAAAGAATATTTCACCAATAAGTGTTGAAGAAAAATTACTCAGGAATTAGTTATTATTTAAAAATTAAGTAGAATTAAAGTTAATCATTTTTCAAGCAATTGTTCTGTCTAGTGAAATATGATCGCGCTCCTCTGTGTATTTGGATCTTTTCTGTAGGGGTTCAGCCGAACTGGAGCTCCCTGAGACTCTCCATGATGATTCAGGAAGCCAATGCCATCAGCCACAAATTGAGAAAAGGTTATGTTTTTGACAGGTGAGGAATTGATGTTCTTAATTATAAAGCACTTTTTTTCGTTTTCCCCACAAGTCTTTTTATTTAATAAGTGAGGTAGATTTAAAAATTTTTCTGCTGCATACAAAATGGTCTGCTTGAAGTTCTTTCTTCCCATAATGCTTCAGTGCTGAAAAGGGTGAGCCAGTGTGTCAGTACTGCTAATTAAACCCCACCCAATTTTCTCAGGAGCAGCTGGTCTCAGTCCCAAATCCTCATTTATCATCCATAGATGTCACTTGTTTGCTTTAAAGTAGGTGACCTACATGTGACTCTTTAAACTTTCACTAAAATTGGTAGGACCCCATAGCGCCTGTCTGCTAGGTCTTGTGTCAACTTCTAAGAAACGTCCCGCTCCTCCTTCAGGGCTTACTCCAGAGTGAAAGACGCTTTTCATAACTAACATACTAAAATGATTTTGGCTATTTTAAAGTGCATAACCCACTACGATGCATTGCGTTGCGAACCTGAGGTTGGTGGTTTGGATCCATGAGTGGCTCAGACAGAAGGTTGAGAGTGTCTACTTCCATGATGATTTAAAGTCCTAGACACCAGAAAGGGCAAATCTGCTTTGTTCTAGAGCAGCAGTTCTCAACCTGTGGGTCATGACCCCTTTGGGGGGTCAAACAACCCTTTCACAGGGGTCGCCCAATTCATAATAGTAGCAAAATTACAGTAGGAAGTAGCAACAAAAGCAATGTTATGGTTGGGGGGTGGGGTCACCATAACATGAGGACCTGTATTAAAGGGTCGCGGCGTTAGGACGGTTGAGAACCACTGCTCGTAGCGTCTCTGTGAGTTGGGATTGACTCAGTGGCGATGGGTTTGATTTTTTAATTTAGTAACCTTCTTGCTGAATTGGAATTTTGTTTATCTGTATTTCTGTATTTTTTTCAGAGGAAAAGAGATACTAGATTTTTTTTTTAATTAGAAACTTGCGTGGTTAGGCTTTTCAAAAAATTTTTAAATCATTTTATTGGAGGCTCTTACAACTCTTAAAAAAATCATTTTATTAGGGGCTCATGCAACTCTTATCACAATCCATACATACATCAATTGTGTAAAGCATATTTGTACATTCATTGCCCTCATCATTCTCAAAACATCTGCTCTTCACCCAAGCCCCTGGCATCAGCTCCTCGTTTTTCCCCTCCCTCCGTATAACAGTCCATACATCCATTGTGTCAAGCACATTGTACATAGTGTTTGTTCCATGATCTGTGCGTTTTGAGATTTGGGGTTTGTTTTTCTTTCAGACATGATGTGTCAGATAAGGGAAGTTCTGAGACTCCTGTACAGGTTCAGGTTCGTAACCTGCAACTCGGGATCTCAACTTTCTGGAGTCTGGAAAAGTTTGAATCAAAGCTGGCGGCCATGAAAGAACTTTATGAGGTTTGGATTTTAATAAAATCTCTATGAAATTGTAAACTTAAAATGTAAAAGTGACAATCATGTTAAATATTTGCAAAATAATGGGCAACCCATCACATTACTTAAACCAATTAATATTAATAATTATGTATATTTCCTTTAATTTTGCATGCACATGGGCTTTTAAAATTTACTATAACATAGTTATCACTAATAGAGAAATTTAGAGCTTAAGCTATTTGATTATCCACTTTTCAAAATGTATATTTAAGTGTAGGATAAGTAGACATCCAGTAGATATACAGCAGTTTGCATCATCTGAAGTAAACTTCCTTTTCATCATAATGTGTACTGTGGGGTACCAGACTCCACAATTGAACGGGTCCAAGGGGTGGTTGCGTAATTGAGGGGTAAAATTAAAGAGACATCAGACAAGATAGGGCATGCAAATGCGTACCTCCAGGACAGCCATTATCTCAGCAGCCAGATCCGCACAGAGAGAGTGACTATATTTCCAATCAATGCTTATGTACACTCAGGGGGCGTGCAAGCCCCCTAAGTACCGATAACCATATGAGTAACAGGAAGGGGTTGTACAATAGACATACATGCAACAGGAGGGGGACAGGCTAGGGGTATACATGCAATAGGAAGGGGGGTCACTAGAGGTATACATGTGACAGGAAGGCATATATGTGACAAGATGGGTGGACTCTGGAGTCAAGAAGGCAGCCTAACTTTGGTCCTCCTGGTTGCTTGCCCTTAGGTCTTTGGGTTCTCCTCCAGGGGAACAATCCGTTATCCTTATCAGAAGGGAGTGGCCCCTACTTAGGGCAGGACAGGCTAGAGTAGGGGTCCTCAACCTTCCTAATGCCGCCCGCGACCCTTTCATACAGCTCCTCATGCTGTGGTGACCCCAACCATAAAATTATTTTCATTGCTACTCCATCACTGTAATTTTGCTGCTGTTATGAATCAACATGTAAATGTCTGATATGCAGGATGTGTTCTCATAGTTACAATCGAACATCATTAAGGCATAGTGGTTAATCATAAAAACAATAGGTAATTATATATTATGAAATATTTATTTCTAATTACAAATAAATGAAATTTTGTCTTGAAGCATGATATAATGTGGGTAACAGTCTTCACGCCTGATACTCGTATGTGGGTGGACCTCCCTGAGACAGATAGGGGAGCAGTGTCTCGGTTCCTAAGACCATCGAAAATATGTGTTTTCCAATGGTCTTAGGTGACCCCTGTGAAAGGGTTGTTTGGCCCCCACAGATTGAGAACTGCTGGACTATAGGGTCTGACTGCTGTAGATGGCTGATAATCCTCAGGGAGATAACCTGTAAGCAGTTGACCACCAACTGTGTAGTCATTGATCATGTGTTAGCAAGCAACACCTTAGGTTTGGCATATCCTAAGGGGGACAACCTGGGGAGTAACTTTGTTTCCCATCGTGTACATATGTATCTATTTTGCATATGTATGGTTCCATATGCTTTTATTTACTTTTTAAACAGTCATAACTAAAAATATCATTGTACAAATGTGTTTGTCATCTTTTTTTAAGAATCATTTTACTGGGGGCTCTTATCACAATCCATACATCCATCCATTGTGTCAAACACATATGTTGCCATTATCATTCTCGAAACATTTGCTTTCTATTTGAGCCCTTGCTATCAGCTCCTCAGTTTTCCCCCTCTCTCCCCATTCCCCCGCCCTCATGAACCCTTGATAATTTATAAGTTATTATTTTGTCATATCTTACGCTGTCCAATGTCTCCCTTCACCCACTTTTCTGTTGTCCATCCCCCAGGGAGGAGGTTATATGCAGATCCTTGTAATCTGTTCCCACTTTCTACCCCACCTTCCCTCCACCCTCCCAGTATCGCCACTCTTAGATCCCTGAAGGGATCATCTGTCCTGGATTCCTTGTGTTTCCAGCTCTTATCTGTACCAGTGTACATCCTCTGGTCTAGCCAGATATGTAAGGTAGAATTGGGATCATGATAGTGGGGGTGGGAGGGGGGGGAAGAATTTAGGTACTAGAGGAAAGTTGTATGTTTCATTGTTGCTGCACTGGCTCAACTCCTCCCCGTGACCCTTCTGTAAGGGGATGTCCAGTTGCCTACAGATGGGTCTTGGGTCCCCAATCTGCACTTCCCCTCATTCACAATGATTTGATTGTTTTAAATGTCTTATTTCCTTGTGTAATATTTTCTAAAGTGATACTCCCAAATATGAGCTTTTTGCTATATTTTCATGACCACTGACAAACTGCTTGCCAGAAACATTGCCCGTTTACTTACCAATATTATATGGGCTACTTTAATTTTCATTTTCATTACTAGTGAATCTGAAGATTTAACTCTGTTTCCTTGTAGATAAAATATGTGTTCACATACTCTGAATTCTTTTAGCAAGTGAAGGGTAGTAACGTAATATATCTGTACTTTAAGTCTTTACATCTTTTGATAATAAACCTTTTTTTATATAAAGATAAGTTCCAAAGTCCAAAATATCACTACTAGTGTTCCAGTTTATACATACACAGGTTTATTTCAAACCAAACATGTTCACATGTTTAAACATGACTTTGCAGTCAGTACAGGGCTGCAGGCAAATCCTCTTGGTAACTTGTCATAGTTTTGCTAGAGTGCCGTTAAAAAAAGAAAAAAAAGGTCCTTTTTGTGCCGGGGGAGGGGGGTGCACAGGACAACTATAAAATTAGTGCTAATACCCCCCCAAATTTTTTTATTTTAATACCAAATTTTTAAAAATCCCAAGTGAACATCTTGCCAAATCATTGATTTGCATTGATTCCCAAAATTTGCAACAAGCTTACAGGAATGCTACTCCACATAAAACAACCTTTTTTAGATGGGTCAAACATCTTAAGGAAGGTCAGGACTGTCCCAAAGATGAATCAAGAAGGAAGAATGTCCCCTCGACAAATGAAGAGCCTGTGGCGGAAGTTTAGAAATGGTGGAAGAAGACCAGAGCCCTACCATTGGCAGGCCAGCTACTGACGTTGGGTTCTCACGTGGACCAACCCTTTCTGTTTAAAGCGGACGTTTTTCACCTCAGCAGGCTTGCAGTTATGGGTGCCAAAGGCATTCTCTGAAAAGCAGCCAGTTCAGACTGCTGGTGTTTCCATCAGGTTTTTAAGCAAGATTAAAGCTAGAGAAGCTACTTTTATGCAATGATTTGTAACCTGTGAGAGGGTCTTGGATTTACCAATATGACCCCTAAGGGGCAAAACCATCAAAACCGTTCAATTTAAAATGGAGTGTTTAACTCAGAAGGATATGGCGACTTTATCTTGGGGTTCCAAAAAGCCACTCATGATCCAGTTTCTCAAAGGACACAGATGGTCATGGAGGTGTTATGAAGAAGTTTAGGAAAATGGAGAGCGGCATTGGTAAGGAAAGGGCCAGGGATTTTTCCCATCATGATAGTTAGTATGCCTGCTTTTTCTTCAAGGCTCGCAAGTGCTGTCCTATGAGATGCCCCCATCCCCCGGCAGGCCACCCTGGCCCCTGCAGACTTCATTTTGTTTCTGAAACTCAAGGCACATTTCAGAGGAACCCAGTTTGAGTGCCAAGGATGCCAAAACTACCGTTTGAACGTGGTGCAAATGGAAGAGCTCAGAATTCCTTAGGGAGGGTCAGAGCGATGGCAACAGTGCGTTCAGATATGCATAGACCGAGATGGAGGGTCTGCGAAGAAAGGAAAGCTTCTTACTTCAATCTTTTTGTTTAATAAAACTCTCTACAGCTTTATAAAGCAATACTCTTGTGTGTGATTGTTAATTGCTTTTAGTCTTTTTTTCAACAGTTTCATTGGCATGTAATTCACGTGTCATACACTTCAGTAGTTCAGTCACACCAAGACAAGTTGTGTAATCCTCACCACAATCAGTTCTAGAACATTTCCTTCATTCTTGTACTCACTGCCATCCGCTCCTCACTTCCCCCAGCATCCTCTGCCGTACCCACAAAGAACCATCAATCGATTAATAGCTCTATAGATTTACCTATCCTGGATTTTATGCACAGAAAAAACTTCAAAGCCAACAAACCAAAAAAAGTTAACAAACAAAATCCTCTATTGAAAAGAAAGCGGAAAATATAAAAAACTATAAAAAATTGGAATGGATCGTTAGGGAGATCGACTGCTTATAGAAGCACTCTTTGATTTTGTATTATTCATATCTATTTCCCCCTCCCCATTGTGTTGCCTTTTTCTTGGTTTCATTTTGTCACACAAGAATTTTAAATTTGGTATATTTTTATCTATTTAATTCAAAGGTCTTTTTCCTGAAACACTGCCCAATCCGCTATATTTCCCTTAGCTTTTAATTTAATTTTCAGTCAAATAGAATTTATTATGGTGTTTTGTAAAAATTATGAATATAAAGTTAATTTTTCCTCATATTTATTTCAAGTTATCCCTAAAACATTTGTTAAATAAGAAACATTTTCTGATTTTTTTTGTATGTTGTTGCTGTTTGCCAAAGACCAAATGAAAGCTTTGATGCTTGGAGTACTTTAATAAGAAAAGATGAAAATGAACTAGCTATTTCACTAAGTCTAGAGAATTAATAAAGTAAGGGACACCAAATGAGGGAGTTATTAAGTGTGGTAAGAGCTGTAGTTTCTGAATGAGAAATTAAGAAACTCCAGTTCTGAATTTTTGAAAACACAAATGTGAGTTTAGGAATGAGAAATAAGTACTAAAGACCAAGAAAGCAAAATTTAACTTATATTGTATTTAAGATTTTATGCTCATTTGTCAATTTTCTAGGAAGAAAATTTTTTTTAGAAAAAGATAAACTGAAAATTGGCATAAAATAGATGGCTGATGATAGGATAAATTCAGTGAGCTGGGGGTGGGTGGGGGAGTTCAGGTGTTGGTCCAGTTAGCTGTATGCTGAAGTCTTTCCAACTTCCGGAGAAGCAGCGCAGCTTGTTCCCGTCAGACTCTTCCAGCCCAGCAGTTGCTATTGTCAACTGATCCCCAGTAGATGGTTCTCGAAAAGAACATAATGTTCAAGGCCGACCTTTTTACTAGTCAAGCTAAACTGTTGTTTGGTTTTAAGAGCGCTTCCGGGGGTATTTTGGGTTTAAGGATTATCTCAGAGTTTCAGGGCCCTTCCAACCGTGACACAGCCTTGCTGGCTGAACTTGAGGAAGATGCGAGAAGCACTTGCTGATAAAAGATCAAAGATTACAGCCTTCATTCACTATGGATTACAACGCAGTGTAAAGAAAATAAAAATCCTCACCACTGGCCCAGTAGGTAACAACATGATAAATGGAGAAAAGATTGAAGTTGTCAAGAATTTTATCTTGCTTGAATCCCCAATCCTTTCTCATGGAAGCAGCAGTCAAGAGATGGACAACGTGTTGCCTTGGGTCAATCTGCTGCGCAAGGCCTCTTGAAAATGTTGAAAAGCAAGGATGCCGCTTTAAGGACTAGGCTTTCCTGACCCAAACCAGGGTATTCTCTCTCTCTTTTTTTTTTAAACCATGGTATTTTCAATTGTCTCATATGCCTGTGACAGTTGACAAGGAATTAAGAAAGACCAAAGAAAAATGAATACATCTGAATTATGGTGTTGGCAGAGAAAATTGAAAGTACCACAGACTACCAAAAGAACCAACAGATCTTTCTGGGAAGATGTACAGCCAGGATGGTCTTTAGCAGCCCGGAGGGCGAGACTTCCTCTCACGTACTTTGGACAGGTTGTCAGGAGAGGCCCATCCCTGGGAAAGGACACGCTTGGTAAAGTGGAGGGACCGTGAAGACGAGGAAGACCTTCGGCAAGCTGGACTGACACAGTCGCTGAACAGTGGGCTCAAACACACGAACAGGGAGGATGATGCAGGATCAGGCCGTGTTTCCGTCTGGTCTGGAGGGTCTCTATGAGCCAGAACCCACACGAGAGTACCTCACAGCAACACACATGGGAATTAAAATTTTGTATATCACCCCTCCCTGGTTTTGTCAGCATTCTCCTATGGGTCTTTGATCAAAATATTCAGTAATGAGAATTGGCATTATCCAGTTCTTTTAGTCTGAAGATAAAAGAGACAATTGTTCCTTTTTAAAAAATTCATTTTATTGGGGGCTCATACAACTCTTATCACAATCCATCCATCCATCCA